GTAGAGCTCCTGCCTAGAATCCCCGAGTGAGGGGCTGGGGTGTGGCTCAGTAGTGAGAACCTGCCTAGAATCCCCCAGTGAGGGGCTGGGGTGTGACTCAGTGGTAGAACTCCTGCCAAGAATTCCCCAATGAGGGGTTGGGGTGTGACTCAGTGGTAGAGCTCCTGACAAGAATTCCCCAGTCGGGGGCTGGGAGTGTGGCTCAATGGTAGAGTACTTGTCTAGAATCCCAAAGTTGAGGGGTTAGGGGTATAACTCATCAGAAGAAATGGGACATGGAAATGGGGAGCTGAATCTCTTTCTAGAGACCAGCATTTATAGAAAAAGAGCTAGAAATGGAATCCTAGGAGTAATGTCATCTAGGCTTTACATCAACTTATGTAAAGATACTTAGAGGGTGAGTTTGACATCAAAGCAACAAGAAGGATGCTAACATACCGACGATGGCTTAGTCAAGCCTTCCTACTTGTCAATTATCTACTGCTGTCCAAGGCTACTTTCTTTGTGCCTTCGTTTCTTTCTCTATATAATAGGAATATCGTATCAACCTGGTAGGATGTAAGGACTCAATGTCCAATAAATAATAGCTGTGAGCCAGCTGCATGATGGTACACATCAGCAGTTCTAGAACTTGGGAGGTGGAAACAGGAGGATCAGAAATTCAAAGTCAGTGCAATGGTTAATCTTCACTGTCCATTTAGTAAGATCAAGAATCATTTGAAAGATGGGATTCTAGCATGCCCTGTGGGGAATTAATTATCTTGATTAGGTGAACTGATGTGGTAAAATCTGCCCATTGTGGACAGCACCATTTCCAGAGATGCTATGTTAGACTGTATGAAAAAGAAATAATAAGGTCAGAACATCTATTCATCTTTCTGCTTCTTGAGTACAGATGCAAGGTGACCAGCCAGCCTCCTGCTTCTGCTGCCACGCCTTTCCAGCCAGATGCCATGTTTTTGTTACCATAGGGAAGTATATCCCCCTGGAGCTTCAAATAAAAATATATCCTTTGTCCACTTAAGTTGCTTTTATCCAAGCATTTCATCACATCAATGGAAAAGCAACTAAGAAAGTCCATCCTAAAGGACATGAAGCCCTGGTACAAAAAAAATTTTTTAGTAATAAATGTTAGCTGATACCATGATGGAGATGATGTTGGTAGTTGTGGTGGTAATGATGATGGTGTGATGGTAGTTAAGACCATGGTTTTAATGGTAATGATAACAGTGGTGATGGTGATAATGATGACCATGGTGATGATGGTGATGTTAGTGATTTTAATGTTGGTGACAATTATGGTGATGATGATTGTGATTATGATGGTAGTGATAAGGATGGCAATGATGATAATAATGAGGATGAGGATGATGGTGGTGATGGTTTGAATGTCGGGGGTGATGGTGGTGATGACGATGACGATGATGATGATGGGGATGGTGGGAATGGTGATAATGATGATGAGGACGATGATGATGTCACAGGCTTGCATTGTGAGGTAGCATTTTCAGTGACAGAACAAAGGAACGCTATCTACCAAGTTGACTATACTGCCACCTTCAGCCAACACTGCCTTCCATTTTCCTTAGCATCATCTAGTTGGAGTCTTCATCAACACCTGCAAAAGCCCATGTACATTCAGGAGGGTTTCTGAACAGTCCTTATATGTGTCTTGTTAAGTATTTGTTCACAACATCAAGAAAATAATAAATATAGTACTCCACCAATATCCAGTAACTAGGAGCAGGTTTACATGACTTTGACATAAACCTTCCATATGAAGAAGAGACTGTGCCCAACTCTAAATCACTCATCATAATGTTTTTACATTTATTTATTTATGTGTACATGTGTGATTACATGTGTGATATGCCATGGTATATGTGTGGACATCAGAGAAAAGCTCTCGGCAATCAGTTCTCTTTCCACCAAGTAGTTCCCAGGGACCAGACTCAGGTCATCAGGCTTGGCAACCATGACCTTTACCTACTAATCCATCTCGCTGGCCTGATGACTGCAATCTTTAAAGCATCAGCCTGCTCTGCTTGATCGTAAACACTGAGACAGAACAACTCTGCGCCTTGTTTGTGTAAGTAAAAGCTGCCACCTGTCCAGCACCAGTCATGAGGTACAGACTGACAAATAACTTGTCCATGCAAATAAAATAGCTCCACCTGTGCATCTATCAGCTGCAGCCAGGAACATATGGACCCACAGGCATAGCAAAAGCCATAGCAGAAAAGCCAAGTTTGTGAAGTTATTGAACATACCAGACCTGCTACCTGTCATATGAACAGAGAAGTACCCAACACTGAGGTAGAATGGTACACTGGATCTACCATTGGTCCATTTTGAACATGTGTCATGGGATAGATAGAGAATGAACTGCCAAACCTGTCTCTAGGGCTTCAGCTCAGCACAGTACCCCTGCTTGACATGGCACAGTGGGACTGCCGTTCATCAGGACATAGTTCTGCACTGTCAACCAGCCCTGTCCTGGAAGCAGCTCTGTGATGGGGTTCCTTACATAATGCCTTAGCTGACCATCTGCAGGGGTTCTCTGCATCTGTATCAGCTGTGTGCTTCCCCTCAGTAAGCTTAACTGTCACCTCGTTAACCTTTTCATAGACATTCATCACCATCATCATAAAAATTATTACCATCACCACCACTAACATAACCATCACCACTACCCTATATATGTGTGTGTGTGTGTGTGTGTGTGTGTGTGTGCATATCTATATGTGTATATATTTATATAACTATATATGGTATATGAACTATAATGTATGATCTGGGAGTTCATTTTAATAATTAAGACTGAAATAAAAAGCTGAGCATGGCGGCTCAACCCTGTAATGCTAGCTCTCAGAAGCTGAACCAAGAGAATTACAAGAATTCGAGGCCAGTCTACAGGGTGACCCTGTAGAGCGACAGGATGAGACCCTGTCTCAAAGAACAAAATTAAAAAGTGCTGGGAAAGAAAGCTTTAGCAGGAAAAATACTTGGCTTGCAAGCACAGGGACCGGAGGTTGATCCCCGGAACCCACATAAAAAACAACAGCTTGGCATAGTGGCACACACTCGCTATATCAGTGTTAGGGAGGCAAAGACAGGTGGAGCCCTGGGGCTCACTGGTCAGCCAGCTTAGCATGCGCACCAACTTCTAGGCCAGTGGAAGACTCTGTCATAATACCAAGGTGGATGGTGCCTAAGGAAGGGCAAACTGCATACACAGGCAAACACACACAAGCACATACATACACATGAATCTGTCCATGCACAAACACATGCATACATAAACACACACTAAAAAGAGATTGGAAGATGACTGCCAAGTGAAATTGATACTGTCGGATAAGCTAAAGCCAAGAAAATGAATGCAGCTTAGGAATTCGTCATTGATAAATTCAGAGAGTGTGAGGTGGCAGACGCGCCTGTTTCTCACATAGCTCGCTGACGACAGGCATGCAGAACCTCTCAGTCGCTATAGATGTGGCAGTGCAAAGCCCCAGACACAAGAAAAACACAGAGAAGGGCACGGTTATGGACTCACAAGCAGAAATGGAGGGGTCTACTTAGGCACTGGCAAGATGCTTCCGTGGGTAACAGGACATCATCAAGCCAGCGCCCGTGCGGTAGAAGGGAAGAACGAACATCTTAAAAGTTTGTCCTCTGACCTCGACCTGTGCCTTGAGATGTGTACACATGTGTGTGCATACATGCATGTACGTACACACAGACAAATAAATAAATAAAATTTTAAAGATTCTACTTAGCCAAGTCAAACACATATGGCCTTCAACCGAATAAGAGGCCCCCAGTAAAATCATGGTCCTCTAGCCTCAACTCCCTCCAACTGACCCAAAGGACAAGAAGGGACCCAGCCAGAACTGGATCCTTTCCTCGACTGCCTTCACATTCTGACTACCCAGGGAAGCATTCCTTGGGCTAGAAGGAGGATGCTAGCCCCAGTGGAAGCTAATTTGTGTTTTTTCAAGCTGAAAAAGATTATCTAAGGTCACCTTGTGGTAAGAGGAGAGGCACAGAAAGCATAAACAACTCCAAATAAGGACTCATTCGTCCCCAAAGTGTCCCAGGACACCTGGACAAATAAATTCAAACTAAACAGCTGTCTTCTTGATGTCTGAGACCATATCCCTTCAGAGCTTCGTATAAACTGGGCACCCACCACGGCAAGATTAAAAACTCTCTCTGCACAGGAATTGAATCACTTTCTCTATAAATCAATTGAAAGTGGTACGTGGTAAGCCTGGCTCTTCCTGTCCACAAGTTCAGAACTTCATTCCCAAGCAACAATCTAAAGAGATTCTGTGTCTTCCAGGCCAACTTTCACACTATTTGAGCAGTGGACCCCAAAAGACATGGGAATTTCCTTGGGAATCTCATTCTGGGAGAAGGAAAGTCCCCAGTCAGGGAGGGGGACTTCTCACTTCAGGACTCTCAAGAGGAACTTGGGAAGAGGTATGGAGTTGGTGGATCTCTTTGAGCCCTTCTCATTGAGGACCTATTGAATAAATCCCCTCTGTTTGTGTTTACTATTAATTTGGCTGCTTAAATTGGCTTACTGAGGATGGGTAGCCCAACTTGACTTCTTGGGGTACAGACTATGACTCCAAATTCGGTAGGAAAAGTGTGTTTAATGACCCATCTCTAACACCACTGGGTTACAAAAGTCTAGGCTGGCAATGTCCATTGCCACAGTGACATAACACCCAAGTGCAAGGTCTGCAACCAGGAAATATGCTCACTGTCCCTCAAGGCGTCTCTGTGGTCATCATGTCTGGATCCTGATCCAGAGCTATCCGTGTTCCGTCTGTAACTAGGTTTCTGGAGCACTGCCAGGCACCGACTTCCTTGGCACAGGGAAGTCTCTACGGTACTTTGGCTTGGTGCCTATCATCACAGAATGTCATCACTGTATCCATTGCTGCTGCTGCTGCTGCTGCTAACACTTGAAGGATGCTTCAAAGCACTCTGCTTGGCATCTGTCTAAGAACTGGTCTTGGTGAGCCCAGAATGTGGGGTTCACAATGCTTTCTTCTACCAGGCTGGGGAGAAAGTTCAGTCATCTCTGAAC